AAGTTGGTCGGTATCTGCCTACCCTTTAAGTAGCGACCAACGTTGGTCGCCATTTTTATATTACATATATTTATATTTTATATTTTTTTTAAAATAATAATATAATTATTAAAATNAGATTTAATTATATTTCATATAATATTTAAATTAATAATATAATTATTAAAAGTGTATAACTGGGCCCCATTTAAGCGACCAAAGTTGGTCGGTATCTGCCTACCCTTTAAGTAGCGACCAACGTTGGTCGCCATTTTTATATTACATATATTTATATTTTATATTTTTTTTAAAATAATAATATAATTATTAAAATTTTATAGGTGGGTCCCACTTTAGCGACCAACATTGGTCACTAATCTCAGTAAATGTTTGACCAAGAAAGTCTGACCAGTCCAGTCAACATTTTGACTAATATAGCAACTAAGTAGCGACCAACTTTGGTCGCTATTTTGTTTCTTTTATTTATTTTATTATTTTCGCTAGTTTAGCGACCAACTTTGGTCGCTTTTTCCCACAGACCAATTTTGGTCGCTTTTTTCCGGATTTCTAGTAGTGAATATTGTATGGAAAAAACTTCAGTGATATAGTTAATCGAGACATTGTCTTCTTACGTTGAAGGGAAGATATTTGGAACAAAGTAACATCATGTAACATTAATTTAATGCACAGGAAATAGTAGAAGAAATCACAAATTTTAGTTTCTTCATTACTTTCTTTTACTACAGATTCGCATATTTGGTATTTGGTAATAGGGCTTACAACAATAATCTTCTTTCTTCTCTGTACCTTAATTTTGAGATAGTGACATTATTCTTTCTGTAAAGAATAATTTTATGAGTATTTTCAATGCACAATATGTTGTATACTGACCAGGACTGCAACTTATTTTTGGCTTTATAGAACTACTGGTGCGTCTCGTATATCCGGTATCACCAAAAGAATTGCTCAATGGGCTTAGCACTGCACAGGTAATTGACTATTTTATCTTTGTATATTTGTACACGTTGGCTCCTATTAACAGATTCTATGTTCCTCCTTCCCGATGTACGGCTAATAGTTAATGTTGTGCACCGTTTTTGTTTCTACAAGTTATGCTATTGTGCTAGAGGAGAGAAAGATGCATTTTGCAAAGTGAGACATTGCAATGCTTCAAAAGGATTCAGCTTTTGCAAGCGTAATGTTCTGATACAAGAAATGGACGTTCCCACTGCTGCACTTCGACAAGGGGAGAGCTCTATAAATGACAACAACAATGTGGTTCCAAATTCACCCTGCCCAGATAAGAGTCAATCAGATATGCAGTTCCCAATAGAAGCATATTAGTGAAATATATTATTTCCAGTAACCTATAAATTATAGTTGAGTTATTATTCCATAATATTGCAGGCTTTAATGAAGAATGTCTCTCTTAGCTTGGTTGAGGTGAATACTCCAGTTTCTCATATCAATCAGAATCGGGTTATTTTGGAAGGAGTACTTTTGAATTTTTAGTTTCAGTGTTGCAACAGTTCAGTTGACGTAATAGTTTATTAATTTTTTTTATAGTAATTCTAATTTCTGCCACTTACACATATTTGTATCAGCTCCCCTACTGCAAAACCGTATATTTTCTTGGGTAACATATGAATTAGAAACAGCGGGATTAAAAAGCAAGATTTTTGTAATAGCTATGTAGTCTTCTTTTTTCTCTTTTGAGTAACATCTCACTAATAGCCCCGTGGTCTTCCATTTCTTTACACAAGCTCACCTTTTCTTACAAATTTACAATAATATAGTTCTGTTCACGTTGGGCTCGGGCTTTGTCCGGGCTACCCCTCCACTAGTATATAAATAGATAGCATCAAGGACCACTACCATGCATTATTGAGAAAGTAGAAGTATTTGGTAAAAAATTTCTCTATGTTTTCCAAGGTAATGCTATCAACTATTCATTGATATACTTACCTTTTTATCAAGGTTTGATTGATCTTCTAATCTATACAAAGATAAAAATATTTTGATGAACAATTAATGAATTTTATTTATTTTTAGTGTTGGTACCTTGATGTTCCATTTGCTCATGTTAGACGATATCATGTCTCTTACCAACAAAATAATATTATCCCAACTTAATAATTCAACAGAGCAAAATGATACTTCGATGAGCATATATACTTCGATCGGTTAGGCCAATCGGTCGGGCCGTAGAGATCTTGAGTTCTTATTAGAGTTGTCAGCAAAATCACCAAAAATGACACATTCATTAAAGACACGGGAAAAATGTGAAGAAAAATTCATGTTTGTTTAATAAAATTCACAACAGGTATTCTTCTATTGCCGCTGTATTGGATAACCAAATGTCCAATACTCAAATATAGGGGAAGAATTTTATTTTGTGTCTTATACAACTGACACTAGTTGTATGAGGTATTTTTTTTGTCTCACAGTTTTGTGGACCCAAAAGTATAAGATTAGGGTCCACAAATTTGTGAGACAAAAAGGAGCCACACAACTAATGAGTTGTGTGAGGCACAGATAAAACTTCTCAATATAGGGATACGCTTTTTTTCTAATTGTTTTGAACTTGTCTCAGCAGTTCTTATTAATGCTATTTTTCACGTTTCCAGTTTCACACATTTGATAATATATTTTTTAGTTTAAAGGCAACTTGTATGTGTATATTTAATCAAGAAAGTGCATTAGTTCACCGTAATGTCTACAATGTGTTTATGTCTTACCGTAATCATCATTGTCTAATATATTACGTACAGATTAAGAACAGAAGTCTACAAGTCGTTTTGGCTCCCAACATAAAGATTAAATTACAAGAAGGTTACGTTACTTTACGAATATTGGCACCAGATTTAAGTTCTTCAAACTCGTTGTTCTTCAACAGTTCTAAAACCCCCAAAGCAAGTTATGGCTATCAAGAAACCAGTATGCAAGTCATCAAACCAAATCTCGTAACCTGTTAATAAAGAATGGAGGAAACAAGAATAGGAAAAAAAAAAAAAGGAAGGAAGAGAATAAACCAAATTCCATATGTAGAACACAGGAAAATATGTAGGAGATATATAAATTGCATACACTGAACAGCGAATGATGTATTCTTGATACATCTTTTCAAAATGTCAATACTCCAAAATGGCTAAAAATAGGAGAAGAGAAAGAGACCAAATAATTAGAGCTTTGGTCAGAATGAGAAGGGGGAAAAAGTAACGTTGCATTCCTTCTTGGACTTTACTATTGCAACCGTCGCATTCCTTCAAAGATATTTAATTTGAAGAAATCAGTTTTTAAACAAGGAAAAAGTAGAAAAAACGCCAAAAAGACAACAACAAAAAAGATAAATGGCATTTCTAATATAAGAATGGTGCCACGTCACTTCTATTTGGCGCTCCTTTATAATTATACTAGTAAATTTACTCGCGCTTTACGTGGAATTTAGGAAATATCAATAAAATTATAAAAAGACAACATAAATCTAAGGATGACAAAATCAAAGACCACTAATAAGAATTAAAAAATAGGCTTTACTTTGATCTTTGCCTCATTATTTAACACTTTTTTCTTAATCATTCTTCGAATCACACCTGTATGGAATATAAAATATAGAATTTATCAGATATATCGGAACGTAAGACCAAAAGTAGAAAATATCTTCGTGCATTTACCTTAAACAAAAAACAAAGAATAGAATTTAAACCATACCTTACTATAATTCTTCTTTTCCACTCCACAGCCTTTAATATAGAGATAGCTCAAACCAGTGCGAGCAAAATATAAACTTAGTATCTTGGTGTGATCACACTTTAGCCCTCATCCTCTTATTCAATCGTGCATATGATCAATCATATTTGTTAAAAACAAATAAGTCCTTTTATAGGTATATATGGAGGGACATTATAATAAATTGTCATAAATTTATACATTAAATATTGGAGGTTATGAATATAAAAGGAATGAAAGTTATTGAGATTATTAAAAATATAGGTTATGAAGATAAAGAGGTATGAACTATGAAGATATAATTTTTAATATAAAATTTATTAAAAAATGATGAAAACCCCCAAAAAAGAGAAAAAAAAAAAGAAAAGATAAATAGAATACTTAGCCAAGGGAGAGGTGCCAAATCACCTTGTCTATTCCCTTTTTTATATAGAGATATAGAGATGTTACTACATTTTTGTGATAAGAAAAATGTAAAAAATAAATAATAAAAGCAAAACATCACATAAAACACCCGAAACCTTCTTCCACCACTCTTATATAGATTCATCATCTCCGATCCCCCACAAGCGTTATCTATTTAGCCAAAGCATCTTTCAATAAATCAATTTTTCTTTCTTTTAATTTCTGTTTAAAATTCTAAGTTACGGAGTATAAATTGCAAACTAATAAAAATACTAATGAAGTCAAATTTTAAATTATGATTAATTATTATTTTCTTATTGTAATTTAGATAATGAAGACATATAGGTAACATAGAATTTTTTAAACCTTATTGAAGCGCAATAACTTAAATGACAGGAAAACATTTACATCCCCAAAAAATTATATGCCAGTAATAGTAAAAATAATCAAATTGCTTCAATTGGTGAGGTAAAATACATGTGATACTGAATTACTGATTACCGAGTCATTATGATATATTGTAAATAAATAAATAACAAAAGAGGAAAATATACCATATAATGCCACCGAGAGGATAACTTACTTTTCGTTCACCGAATTGAATCTCAGCAAAAGCCTACCTCGCAAAGCTCTACATAATGGCTTATAATAATCAATACTCCACCTACAACCAAAAGTCGTCAAACATTTGAACTCTATATATATCTTCGGAGCTCGCCTTCACTATAAATTTTCTTCAAGATGATGTTCTTGATCAGTTCCCATCTGAAACCTCAAAAACTATGTTAAAAAATTATGACCTGAAAAAATAATGCGTGAGAAAGAGAGAATAGATTGCTGCTAACAAAGTAGATTGTTTTAATTCCCTGCGGATCAGTTCCCACTGCGGCGTGCATCCCGAGCCATCCATTTATTTATCGTCGACGGCACTCACTGGGGGTGTGTGCAGACTCCGGAGGGGCTCCTACAGCCCAAGCGCAATATCAAGCCATCTCGTGACATCAAATCTAGGCCCTCGGCCTCATATCAATCTCAGTATAATCACCCACGCTCTCGGCCTCAATATCAATGTAATCAACCAGTCTCTCGGCCTCAATATCAACGTAATCAACCAGTCTCTCGGCCTCAATAGCAATATAACATTGTTGCGGCGCGCAGCCCGATCCATGTTCAGTCTAGAAATCATCATAAGCCCCTTGGGCATTTGTAAAACAGTAGTTC